CTCTCCTACACCCCAATCCCTAAACCCTAAACCCCAAACCCTACACCCCAAACCCTAAACCTTAAACCCTAAACCCTAAACCCCAAACCCTAAACCCTAAACCCTAAACCCTAAACCCTAAGCCACGTGAAGGTGGAGGCCTGCTTCTATGAAACCTTCGCACGGCGGCTCAACGAAGTGGGCGCGCACTGCCCCGAGTTGCTGCTGTTGGACAGGACCTATGTAGGGATTAGGGTTTAGGGATTAGGGTTAATAGAAGTTGTACAGGGTTTGGTGTCCGAGATTGCTCTGGTCTGGGGTCCCTCTTCTAAACTCCTGAAAGGGGGTTACATTATTATGTAGGGGGAATACTATAGGGGTTATGAGTTCAGGAGGATACTAGAAGTTTTCACTCTGGCTCATGCGATTATCCTCTCCACGTGCAGAGGACTACTGGCAGCCTAACCCTGGCAATCTCCAAACTGCCTGGCGAGGCTGCAAGGTCTGGCCAGGGGAATGGTTTAGGGCTTAGGGTTTAGGGCTTAGTGTCAGGGTTTGGGGTTTTGGGGTCAGAGGTTTGGGGTTTCAGGCTCAGGGGGTGGTATACTGGCTTTGTGGGCAGGATGTTTGTTTTCGGGAGCATATGGTGAAATTTCTGAGGTATAGTACGGTTCTCACTAGTTTTGTTCATCTTATAGTAAGGGCCCAATGAAGGTTTACAGCATTTTCGGAACAGTAGTTCAGGCAAATAGCGTTCTGCAGTGCTACAAGCTCATGAGTCCGGTCTTCAGAACAATGATCCTGTTATCATGCGGCCTTTAAGGGGGCCAGGTGCCCTAATGAAATTTTGTCAGAGATTTATGTTTGCAGTAGGGTTTCTTAACACAAGCATGGGGGCAGGTGTGGCAAGGGACATCTTTCCTGGAGATTGCGGAGCTTGCTGGAGTAAAGGTTCTGACTTGCCCTGTGGTCACACGCCTTTCCCAGCAGCAAACTTGTTAGCGCGGTTATTGACTACTGAGAGACAGCTAGGTGCTTATTCTCGAGGGCACAGCATAAGTCTTCCGTGAATAGGGGGCCTCAATGCAGACACCAAAAGTAGTATACATAGCCCATATTATAGGACATTTTAGGGGGGCGCTCTGTTTCTGGAAGCCCGCATGTCAGTTTGAACATAATTGGGGAATAAGCAGGCTGTGAAGGCGCTTGTCATGTGGCCTGCTTACACTAGCCACATGCTCCTTCACATGGACCCTGCTTTTGGGCAGCTTGGCAAATTCACAGCCATGTTTTAGGTATCTTCATAGTGCCTGTGAAGCTTCTGCACCCCCTAAACTCGAAACCCGGAATCCTAAATCCTAAGCCCTACACCCTAAATCCTGAACCCTTAATCCTGAACCCTACATCCCAAGCCTTACATCCTAACCCTTAAGAACTAAACCCTAGAGGAAACTTGGCGCTGCAGCTACACAGAGCGCCCTGGCCTGGCTGGCACGGTTGCACGCAGAGTTCTGGGGAGCCCATGCAGAGGCCATGTTGGTTTGGGGATTAGGGAAGACATGGTTGAGGTTGAGGGTTTAGGGCTTACCTAAGGGTTGTAGGGTTTATAGGGTATGGGGCTATACAAGTGTATCTAGGGCTTCGGGGACATTATCTCCAATAATGGAGAATCAAATCGATAATTACATGGAAACTGGAAATGCGACTGGGATGAACTAGTGGTTTATAGGGCTTGGAGTTTTTTTGGTCGCTTGCCTGAATCATTTTTTTTGGTCTTTGCGACCGCAGCGGGGATCATGAAAGCCCAAATCCCTATAATCCTATAAGCCACGATATAATCCCAGCTTTCAGTTCATGTTCCATTTTCCTTTCTTCCATTACTTGGGTAACAGCCGTCAGCCTTATATACATACATATATATATATATTATTCCTACATGTGCCAGTGGACGCTGGACGCGATTCAGGGATGACTAGGGTGGAGTTGCTTTGTCAGTTTGGGGCTTGTATCTGTTCCGGGCGGTGATGCTTGTGAAGTCTTTTTGGCTTGGCCTGACTTGCTGAGCCTGACAGCCACAAAATTCAATCGCAGGCAGACTTTTTGTCATGAAAAACAGATTTGCTGAGCCTGGAAGCCATAAACTCGCAAGTCTAGGGGGTTGAGGGTTTAAGATGTTGGATGAGGTTTTAGGGTTTGTGTTTAGTCGCGAGGGAAGAAGTCACTTCGTCTAAGGCCGCTGTGGCTGCCGGGCTTCATGCCGTGGGCTGCTTCTGGGACACATTCCTGGGAAATGATGTTTGATCATTGTTATGGACCATTGTTGGGTTTAGTGTTTAGGGCGTTTAGGGCTTGGGGTAATCCCTATACATATACATATATATATATATATCCTATAAAGCCAGGAAAAAGCGAGTTTTTTGTGGCCACAAATCTTTATATTGGGGTTATATTGGGATTATATTGGGGTTATATAGGGGTTATATTGGGGTTATATAGGGATTATATTGGGGTTATACTATCCAGGCTTCTGGAGCTTGGACAACTGCCGGGACCAGCTGGCGAATCTTCCGCAGGACTGGGCTTCGGGTTTAGAGTTTAAGGGTTTAGGGTTTAGGGTTTACGGTTTGGGGTCTCTTCCTTTTGAGAACCCTTTAAGCTCAAGTAAAATAGGAAGCTCCCCTGTAATTCTAGCTTCCATGTGTTTTTCCCATTTCATTTTCCATTTTATTTTAGGGGTTCAGGGTTTAGGGCCTTAGGGTTTAGGGGTTCAGGATTTAAGGCCTTAGGGTTTGATTCTCCTTTACTGGGGCAATACCCTTGAAAGCCCATATGTGGGTACCCTGGATCCTTTGAATCAGACTCTGTATTGTCCCTATATAACCCTGTAGAATCCCATTATGTAGGTACCCCGGATCCTTTGAGTCAGGATGCCTTCGGTCGAAGACTGCTCTTAGTGGCTGAAGCCGTTGATGAGTGGCTGAAGCTCGAGCTGCAGAGCATCTGCCATGGCGACTGCAAAGGCTGGCTTCATAATGGAGAAGAAAATGGAAACTACTATGTTATGATAGGGTATATATATATATATCTACATAGGTTATAAAGGGATGAAGGAAAAGAACATGTAAACTACTATATTATCATACTAGCGTATATATTGGGGTTATGGCGCAGCCTCTGTTCTGAATCTGTGCATCAATCATGTTAAGCGGCCTGTCAGCCTTCCGCTGTGACTGATAATGTGCGCGCCGCGCTCTATCATTTGCCTCTTGCATTCTTGCCAACAGATGGTAGTTTCCCTAAATAGGGGGACCCCAATATAGAGCCCCAAATACTATAATCCTTATTCTGGGGACCCCAGGAAAGGTATCCTTAAATCTGGGAAACCTCCAGATCACAACATGCGCGTTGACGACAACCTTGTCAGCATGTTCGATTTCCAGTGGACTGGCAAAGCTTGCGTGGGCAAGGACATTGCCTACTGCCTCATCTGTGCTTCAGGCCCTATGTAACCCATTAGGGATTTAGGGATTTAGGGTTTAGGGTTAGGCTTTGGTAGTTTCCCATTTTCTTTTCCATTATCCCAATAAATCCCCAATATAACCCTAAACCCTGATAGTAGTTTCCATTTTCTTTTCCAGTATCCCAATATATATCCCCAATACATATATACCCTATAATCTCTATATAACATTAATATATACCCTATAATCCCTATATAACCTTAATACATACCCTATAATCCCTATATAACCCCAATACTATAAGCTGCTTAGGCATTCGGGCTGGGTCTGGGGAAGCTTCCGTGCGCCTGGCACATGCCCAGCACCTGCCCTGAGGTCAACTGTGCTCCGGGGATGAGGTATCTTGGTGGACGGGAGCCTATTACTGTGTCGCTTTTAAGGAACTTAAATTAAGTTGCCATAATGGGTATACATATATGTAGTATTTGAAAGGGTTTCCCCACTATAGTATATAACCTAACTTAAGTTCCTTAACAGCAACCCCGGTTAAGTGGAGTTTGGATGGGGTTTTTAAACAAGTGGCCTAGGCCTCTAAGGCCATCCTAGTATCCCCCTTAATACCCCCTATATTAGTCCCCCATGTCATATAACCCCCCTTTAAGGAGTTTAGACTATAGCTCTATAACCCTTACAAAACCCTAAATAACAGTTTCCATTTCATTTTCCATTTTCTTTTCCATTTGATTCTCCATTACCGGGGTATATATAACCCCTATATAACCCCTTAAGGAGTTTAGGCTATGGCTCATACTCCTCGGGTCCCAAAGGAATCCCCTGTTGTGAGACCTGGCTTCCGAAGGCAGCTTATCTCGCAGCTTACCACGTGGAGTTGTCGCAACAGCTGGCAGCCCAAGAGGAGCCGTCTCCAACACTGGAGCAGGCTGGGCCGTTCAGGGTTCAAGGTTTGGGGTTTAGAGTTTATGGGTTTAGGGGTTTAGAGTTTATGGTTTAGGGTTTAGAGTTTAAGGGTTTAGGGTTTAGAGTTTAGGGTTTGGGGCTTAGGGTTTAGGGCCCTAATCCACAGGGGTCCTACCTCGTAATCCTTGCTTGTCCTGGGGACAGCAGACAGAGCATGTAAACCATGAGAGAAGTCTAGCAGAATGTCACACAAATGCTGTTCGGCCCGGAAGTCCAGCCGCAGGTCATAATCAGTAATTGGGGCCCTCTAGCTGCTCTGGGCCTGGTTTTGGGCTTCCTTTAACCAGCCTAAACCCTCCCCAAAGCCCCGAAGCCTTTTCAATCCTGAAGCCCAAGCCTGGATTGCTGTTAGGAAGCCCTATGATTCACCATAGGTTCATCATAGCATTGTAGCTTAGTTTACGTTCCTTATTGCAGAACCGCAGACAAAAGCCTCGACTGCTCCACCCCTTGGAGTCAAGTGCAGGTCTCTGCCTGCTATCGACTGGCGCTCCTGGACCTGGCTGGGCCTCATTAAACTCAAAACCGGCTTGCTGTTAAGGAATTTAAATTAAGCTACCATGATGGGTATACATAGTAATTGATAGGGTTTCCCCAACATAGTAACTTAAATTAAGTTCCTTAACAGCAACCTAGTAAATGCTATGCTTAGGGCTTAGGGGGTTGAAAAGTGCTTAGGGTTCCCCATGAGCCCACGTAAATAACTACCCTCACAACCTAATTCCCCATTCCTTACTGCATGACCACCATGACTGGGACCGTGTTTATGCCTGTGACTTTGTATCTGTCTGCTGTGGTTCTGATGAAGCTGCGTCGGTGCTTATATCATTTTTGGTTGACTAGTTGTGATAGACTTAGCAAAAAGTATGACGATTGCTTGTAAGGTTCGCACAAGAAACGATGGTGACTGATCGAGATCTTCGTTCAAACCTATCCCTGCTACCATCGTGTTCTACAAAGTATGCTGACCCCAAACCCTCAATCCCATACACTAGACTCTAAGCCCTAGACCGTATGGAGGCCCGTTGGATGGCAAGCTACCCGTATGGGTGGTGGGGCCACGGCCGCGTACTGAAACAGGCAGCTGAAGAAGTCTTGCAAGCTCTGGATGGTGGGGAGGCCTGAAGCTAGAAAAGAGCGCTTCCCACAATTAATTAGGTCCCCTTAAAAAGGTTTATAGGGATTATGTAGGGGTATATGGGGAGATCTAGGGTTTAGGGATCATTCCCCCAACTTAGGGGTACTTTTTTGGCCTATTTTGGTACAAAAAGGATGGCGTTCTCGAATGGGGCTACATGAAGAATTACTATAATTGCAAGCTTGCTTTTTCTTGGAGATCGTACCGCATCAACGTTTACCTTCAAGCTTCCCCTGAAAGCTTCAAACGAATATTCGTACACCCTCCACCTGAGGCCTAAGGCTTGCGGAGCAATTTGCAAGATTTCCCCTTCATACCTTCATGTAGAATGACATGTTCTACTCACTTGTTCAGAAAAACATAGAGGCATTCATGCAAACTTGCGCAACTGCTCCGACATCAGATAGGGGGTATATCAGATTGCATGGGGTGTATACATATATATATATATTCATACATAATATATATACATATATATATATATGTGGGGAGTTGTGCGAGGGGCATATCTAGGGTTGCATGAGGTGTAATTATATGGGACTATATAGGGAGGGGGAAAATCAATGCTTATTTAGAGTCTTACAGGCTTGCATGCAGCAAAACCCCCAAGTTATAGGCAGGTCACATCCTACAGTCGCTTATAAAGTAGTGTTGTAGATAACAGCAGTGTTTTGAACTGCGTCTACCTGGGTTTCAAATGGTGGCTTTATTTCATAGGAATCCTACCCAAAAACCTAAGTCCGGGGTTCTGCAAGAAATCCTGCGGAACTTGGTAGATTCCCATCGGGGGAGTACGGTGTGATGGGAGCTGCCATCTTTTCGGTCAGCTTTGATAGCTTTAGTCATGCGAGTATCTACTACTCCCCAAACCCCTTTAAGGACCTCCCAAGACTCCAAGGACCCCAGACCCCTTATATAGCTAAGTAGTCCCTACGAGTAGGTAGGAGGGTCCCTAAAAGGTGGGTGTCCTTAAAGAGCAGTAGTAATTAATTCTTCCTGTAGTGTGTGGGAATTTCGTTCACGCTCAATGCCGCAAGGTCCTGAGCTGTGCTGATGACTACCACGTTGCGCTGAACAGAGAATTCCCTGCCTTCTCACGAATTCGAGAAAAAGTGGGGGTGTTTGAGCAGTCGGCTGGACTTAGAAAAGGATTCAGATTTTGTGGCTGCTGTCGCCTAAGCCCTAAGCCTTACACCCTGACCGAATTTGCGCGAGGACACGGATGCCTGTCCCAAGGGCAAGGTTCGCATGATCTATTCTGGGGGCAAGTCCAACCAGAATGGCATGAGCCACCAGGCTGCAGACAGGCAACTCCTGGAGGTGCTATGGGGTGCATAGTGTTGTGTCTACAGGGATTTGTGTGGATATATAGGGTTCTATAGGCATATATAGGGTTACGGATACGGATAGGATTCCGTGTTTGGTGCGCCTGCTTCGTGCTTGCAGCCTGGCAGACTTGTGGAGTTTCTGCATAACCTAACTACATACAGAACCCTCAAACCATAAATAGTAGTTTCCATTTTATTTTCCATTATCCCAATATAACCCCTAAACCCTAAACCCTAATCCCAATATAACCCCCATAAGACCCCTATATATGGTCCTGCGCTCTGCGTTCCCAGCCCCCCCCCCAATGGTA